GTTCGGACCAAGCTCCATGACTCCTTAATGGCATGCCGAGACTTGTAAAATAGCGGGAGGTTGTGAACTCAAAATCTGTTTAGGAGTTGGCTCCCTAAGTTAAGTGCATCCCATTCCTCCGTGGTTCGCGAGAAGGAAAAAGGACTAATCTTTTGTTACATCTGGCACGAGATGAAAAAGAGAGAGCTTCGTCTATCGATGAACAGCAGGTTGACGGAGCTCTTGGCATTGCTTTGTTTTTCTCTCCTTTCCTATCAGCGAGTTCCAATCCTTTTGTTCGAAATTTCTTCGTTCGTACCGAACCGCTTGCAGAATCAAATCCTGTTCCACACGATCCTATATCAGCTATACATCCTCCTTGCATTTATGACGGAGACGTCGCCAGTGCTATGGGCTTTGGGTTATGTAGATAAAAAATGATGAATGGGATTGTGGCACTCCACTCGCCGCCAATGCGGAAGGATGCCACCGAAAAGAATGGAACACTGCTTCGCTCTGCTGGATGCGTCGGATCCCATATAAGAGGCTCGCTCTTTACCCGATCATTCAAACATTTTGTGGGCGGCGCGCCTGCTCTATTGTTGCGTAGCAATAGAAGCCTGCTCATGCTGCTTCGGCGGCGCTTTTTCGCCTTCTCTTCGCTCTGGACAGGAGCGCTAATGGACACGGGGAGGGAGCAGGTGAAGCATGTTGTCGTTCATAATGGAAAGAAAGACACCACTACTTCGCCTCTTTGTTCGCGATGACCAGTGGTCTCTGACCATGACAAGGAACCAATTGAATTTGATCTTGACATGTTGGTTGTTTTTTAACCGTAGGCATCTCGCTAGGAAGTTGGTGGGCTCATCATGAATTAGGTCGGGGTGGCTGGTGATTTCGGGATCCCGTAGAAAATGCGTCTTTTATGCCTCGGGTATTAGCCACAGCTCTTATTCATTCAGTAATTCTACCCCTTCTTCATTATTGGACCGCGCTTTAAAAAAAAAAGGTTCCATGTAGGTACAAAGCTTGATCATTATATTTAGGTTCTCTTCCTAGATCTAGAAATGACATTCTAGCCATTTATAGTGGCTTAGAGGAGGAGAGAGAGAGACGAGAAAAACAGAGGGATAGAAATCAAAATGTGTCTCTACCACTGTATAACTCTTTATATATGGACCTAGATCTAGAGGTGGAGAGATAATGGGAGAGAGCAGTGACGAAGCCAGGAAAATATTTAGGAGGGGCTGAAACAAAAGAATAGATGCTTTTTTATCTTCTCTTAACCTTAGCCCCTCCTACCTAATACATATATACATAAAATTTTAAAGGAGGGCTTAAGGGGGCTCCACGTGCGCAGGATGGGTAGGGGGGGCTAGAGCCCCCCTAGCCCCACCGCTGGCTTCGTGCCTGGGAGAGAGTGGTGGTATGGAGATAGAGAGAGAGAGAGAAATCCTTTCTATTGTTGGTGAACTCAAAGCTCCTGGACCAGATGGCACATGCTGGCACTATTTTAGGAAAAGTACCGGCATATTGTTGGTGAACAGATTACAAAGGAGATTAGTACCTTTCTCAATGGAGGTGAGATGCGAATGAAACAGTAGTGGTCTTAATACCAAAGGTGATTGAGCCATATAGAATCAAGGATCCTCGACCAATTAGTTTATGCAATGTTGTCTATAAAATTGCCTTGAAGGTCTTAGCCAATAGACCGAAAAAGTTTTACTAGAGGTGATTTCCCTAAAGCAGAGTGCTTTTATTTTGGGGAGGCTCATCTTTGATAATATTTTGCTAGCTTATGAGATGGCGCACCACATGAAAACAGATATGGGAGGAAGGAATAGCAGTGTTGCTTTGAAATTTGACATGAGTATATGACCGTGTTGAATGGATTTTCTTAGAGAGAATGATGCTAAAGATGGGGTTTGAGGCTAGCCAGGTGAATACTATTATGAAACGTATCAAGTCTGTAACCTACCGGATAAAAGTTAACGGAGAGTTCACTGAGAAAATTGCCCCATCTAGATGTTTGAGACAAGGAGATCCAATTTCGCCGTACTTACTTTAGTTATGTGCAGAAGGATTATCTTGTTTACTGAATGCAGCAGAGGTGCGGGGAGATTTAGAGGGAGTGAAAATATGCCAAAATGCTCTGAGCGTTAATCATTTACTGTTTGCTGACGATTCGTTTGCTACTCTTGAATAATAATGAAAGGAGTGCACAATGTCTGCGAGATATACTTTATTTGTCTGAAGATTGCTCTGGGCAGGTCAACCCTAACGCAACCGCAGGCCCGAAGGCGTTGCTTAGGCATTGTTGATCATCTCCCACACGAAGAGGACCACGGTGGCGATGAACATGTCGATGGCAAAGTAGGACTCGACCTGGCCGGTACCCACCAATGGTGAGATCGCTGCCTGTGAGGGCCGCGCGGGCCGACCAGAAGGGCCGCGGCCTGTCGAACTCCTTCCCATGGCGCCCTTGGAAGACGCTTGGATTTTTTCCCGTAGCTGTTGGGACGAGTGGGGAAGAAATGGAATAGAAACGAACGGTATGGGAGGGAGGTGTGTAACCAGTGACAATGGAGGATAATTTTCTCCAACTCCACCAACTTAAGTTTGGTGGAGCACCCCATGAGGAGCTCCACCAAAATGGTGAATCTGTTCCTCAGATATAATGTTTTGGTGAATCTGGATTTGGTGGCGCTAAACCATTTGGGTAACTTTTCGTGAAGTGGAACTGTTTTTAGTAAATCTTGAGCTACCCCAAACAGGCCCTTAAAGCTGAAACAAATCCACCATAGAAGCTTGTGAATCGCGGTGACCGGAGCTGCATGCAAGGGGAGGAGATGAAAGAAGGAGCTTCGTTTGGGGTTTGGCGCTCTCTCTCTCTCTCTCTCTCTCCCTCCCTTGGGCATGTTGCCCGATTTGCCGCATTGACATGAGGAGGGTCAATGCCATGGCGAGGAGGCTAGCGCGTGGAGGGGCTGAGACCGGCGCGGGAAGACTTCTCCGGGCAGTGCAGATAGTGTAGATTGAGAAGAGAAATAATGGAGGAATAATAAAGGAAGAAAAGAAAAAACAGAGAGAAAAAATAGAAAGGTATTATAAGACATTTCACTATTTTCAACAACCATGAAAGTTATTTTATTAAAAAAATTCTAACTATAAAGAAATCAAAGAAAAAAAGGTGATGTTTTATTAAAGAAACCCACAACTAGAGTTGTATTGACTAAAGCTAAAACTCTACCAAACGGGTCCTTGGTCTGGATCCCAACACATATATTGCGCCCTATTTTTCTTCCTTCCCTTTACAAAGTATCGATCAATTCCATAATCTTTTCAAGAATAAATATAATCATCGTTGTTCAAAATTTGTTTGCACTTTCTGATCTGGAGCACAGGAACAACATGCATGCACGCATCCATTCGCCTGGACACTACTAGCATGTGGCGACGACCTCAGTTGACCTCGCGTCTCGCTCCCGTCAACCTGGTCCCACGACACACGGCACTCGGCAGGCAGAGGCAGCAGTGGCATGTCCTTGCGCCTGCGCTGCACGCCTTTAATTAAAACTCCGCTGTCCGCTCTGAGGTTCACTTCGCACCAACCGGGGGCGGCTGTGATCCTCCTCGCTCTATCCACCACCTACGATGAACATGGATGAGATGACCGTTGTAGGCCGAGACAGTACTTAGTCATACAAAACTTTGGTTCCAAAATTACAAGTATTCCATCTGTCGATCTCAAAATAAATATACATCTTGTTTCTCGAGTAATTAAATATTTTTAAGTTTGATCAAATCTATAGAAAACGGTATCAATATTTATATCTTCTAACAAGTTTATTACGAAAGTATACTCCATGCTTAATGTAATAGTACTTATTATATATTATAAATATTAGTATGCTATTATATAAATTTGGTAAATTTTTTAAAAAAAATTGACTTCAAGAAGTGAGATGTACATTTATTTGGGACGGAAGGGGCACTTCCTCCATCACATAACAATAGTCGTTCTAAGATACCGCAAAGATACTAATACTCAAGAAAAATAGCCTCGATGCCCCTAAATGCTCCTAGAAATGCTAGCACTAGCGGACCAACATCAATTGTTTTGCTTCTGCGCTGGCCGCTCTAGGATTGCGAGAGGGCACATGGGGCATGCCTGCCCTGTCGATCGCCATGCACGGATACCCGAGCGACCGCTCCTTCTCGCCAGCGCACAAGCCTCTCTCCCAGCACGGTGGCATCTCGTGTCTGGGGCTGCACCCGTCCACGCTGATGGAGAAGAGGAGGAGGGGCACCAGCGGACGGGTTTGCCGGTGTTGGAGAAGAGGAGGGAGGTCATCGTCGGATCTCGACAGAGGAGAAGAGGGGCAGTGCTAGCGGGAAAGAGGGGGGAATGATTGCTAGCAAGTTGGGGGAGGAGGGCAATGACCAATGGCAATGGGATAGGATTGAGTGACGGGAAGTAGGAGGGAAGGATTAAAAAAAAGAAGCAACACACAGTGGAGGGGTGGGGGCGTGAGGTGGAGAGGGTTGGACGAATAGACTCTATGACTGACATTTTGATAGGCTAAAACGATACTCTTTATGAGACATAATTTGTATGCTAGAACAACATTATTTATGGAACAAAAAAATACTTATTAAAGTCATTGTAGACATCGTATGTTGAAAAAATGATAACATTGATTTGCTGATATATGTCATAAAAATGCTAGGAAGGCATAATCTACTTTCAAAGTCTAATGTCTTCCCAACCTTATAAAAAGAATTGGCCCCTAATCATGCCTCCTTCATCAACATATAAATCTTGGTGCCATTTCGAAATACGACTACTAGGCCGGCACATTAACAAGCTACTCCTATCTTCAACCAAATATTAAAATCTTGTATTTGATCAACATGAGACCAAATTTATTGTGACATGATCCTGGATTTAATTGATCTCGTGTCTTAAGTGGCGCCCCTCGAATTTCTTGCCATGGGACTTTGTGAGCCACCGGCGTTCCTCATCGCCGCCCGATGCTGCCACCGGCTAGCCCAGTATTCCGCCGCTTGTCCCTCGCCGTCTTCTCCTCCGAGAGCTGCCTGGCCAGGACGGCGAGCGCCTGAGCATTGGACCCCTCTCCCTTTACCTCCTCGTACGTCCCGGTCTCCACGTTGACCCTCGACACCGGCTGCTCCAGTACGCGCTCGCCGACGGCGACGAGGTTCCGCATGTTCTCCGGCGTCGCCGCGTCCACGGCAGCCGCTGCGCCGCCGAGCGCGCTGTTGTCCTGGACGCGAAGGTAGTTCCTCTCGCTGCGGAGCAGCTGGAACTTGACGGCGACGTGGATGTCGACGAGGTCGGAGCTGGCGGCCATGAAGATGTCGATGATGGGCGTCCTGTCCTTGCTGCGCAGCCACCCGAGGTTGCCCCACCTGGAGCACGCCTCCGCGGTGTACAGCCCCGCGTCGGACGTCAGGCCGGTGCCGATGGACAGAACCAGAAACCGGCCGCAGTCTTCCTCCGGCGTCTTGAGCAGGAAATGCGCCGCCTTTTCCTTGGCGATGATCTCCTCCTCCGTGATCATCGTCATGGCAACCATGGTCTGCAAGCGTACGACCTTTGACGATGTCCTGGAACGCAACCATGAATGAAATACATGCTGCTGTGTGTACATTATTACTTACTGGATTGTTGGCGGCGACGCCGCCGTCGATGAGGTTGTACTCTCGCTTGCCTCCGTCGCCGTCTTGGGTCTGGAAGTAGTGCGCCGGGAAGTAGGTCGGAGCCGCCGACGTGCCGATGCAGACGTCGGAGAGCAGCGCGTTCTTCAGAGGCGTGGTCCTGGCCTGCGTGCAGAAAAACGCATAAAGACACCATGGCATGAACTTGAGTGGAGACTGTGTACGTACGTCGTAGGTGGAGAAGATGACGGGCTGCAGCAGCTTGACGTCGAAGGTGGGGATGACGACGTTGGTGAGCGTGTCGCCCACCCTCGTCTCGCCGAGCACTTCTCGGACCACGTCGCGGAGGTGCGCGCCGTCGTACTTGGGGCCCCACCACGAGGAAGCGAGGCTGCTCCACTTCTGAGGGAAGATGCGCGGACCGTGCTCCAGGTAGAACGGGTTGATGTCCCCGGCGGCGAAGAGCGGGAGGCCGCTGTCGTCTCCTGGTCCCGGCGCGGCCAGCATCGCCGTGATGAGCCCGCCGGTGCTCGTCCCAGCGATGTAGTCGAAGTAGTCCGCCAGCCTCGCCTCCGGCCCGTCGATCTTCTGCAGCTCGGCCTCCAGGTAGGCGAGCACAGTGCCCGGGATGAGGCCACGGATGCCGCCGCCGTCGATGGTCAGCACCGTCACCCGGTCACCGACGGTACGGCACGCCCCCGCCGCTCCGCTGCTGCATGGGTGGTACACGCGACGCCGGGATGAGTAGCTTCTCGTCCTCGCCTCGAATTCATCCCGTTTCCTCAGCTGCCCCTGCCACGAAGAGCCAGCAAGCACAGTTGGAAGCTCAGATCTCGCACGGTAGAGTTGATGGCAACACTTGAGACGCCAAAACATGGCAGGAGAGATCGATCGGTCGAAGGGAGCTCTGATGGCGATGGCAATGGAGACGGGGATACTACGATCCAGTTGTTATGAAGCTAGAGGCCGGGGATGGAACCGGATCTGTTTTCACTTTTCACTTGTGCAATATAGACTTTATTTTGATTATTTCACGGTTCCTTTGGTAGCAGGTAGACAGAGAACGACCAAGGTGCAACTTGAGTCAATAATAATACAAATCTAAGAACCAATTTGCTGGCTCAACTGGCCCACAAAAAAAGCAAGTGAAGACTATATATATTTAGCATGATGATGACCATGAGCCTGCTGGTCGGTTACCAGCGTGGTCTTTCACCTAATACAATTACCTTTTTTTACCAACCCTCCTTTTTATTGCTGGTTCTATTAGATATAGATGGCTATGATAATATATCACTGCCGATTTGTAGTAAAACCAACGGTGACAATCGAGATGATTTTTATTGCCGGTTCATATCAAAACCTATCAGTGAAACCTGGCAGCCTGGGCACTATCCGCGTAGGCCTCTCTCTCTCTCTCTCCCCATGGGGCCTATTTGTAGTTATGTTTACTTGGGATGGATGACAGGCAGCGCCTACCGGGGACCGGCTCTTTGCCGAGTGCCAGGTGGTTTGCCGAGTGTTGTTTTTCGGGCACTCGGCAAAGCGGCTTTTGCCGAGTGTTTTTTTTTTTGACACTCGGCAAAGAGGCTCTTTGCCGAGTGTTTTTTTTAACACTCGGCAAAGAGGCTCTTTGCCGAGTGTTTTTTTTAACACTCGGCAAAGAGCCTTTTGCCGAGTGTTATTTTTTTGACACTCGGCAAAGAAAATTTCAAAGCAAAAGCATATTTTGAAGCAGTAAATTAATTCAAATGAAAAAGTTTTCAACTACAAAGTTGTATAACTCATCAAGATGTACAATGTTTGTTTTGGTCTTTTCTTGATATGACAAAGTGAAAGTAAAATTGTTCACAAATCTAACATATCTCTCTTGTAGTTTATGAAACTACAAGAGAGATATATAAGATTTGTGAACAATGTTAGAACGACCATGTCGGATGAACAGATGATCAAACAATCAAAATAAACTTTGTAATTGACAACTTTTTGATTTGAAAACATCTTGTCATGCAAAACTGCATTTGAATTTCAAAATTTTAAAATTCGAACTTTTCAAACGACCTCGGATGAAAAAACAACCAAAATAAACTCTGTAGATCTTGAAAAGTTATGAAACATTGTAGTTGACAACTTTTTGATTTGAAAACATCTTGTCATGCAAAACTGCGTTTGAATTTCAAAATTTTAAAATTCAAATTTTGTAAACGACCTCGGATGGAAAAACTTCCTAAACTAAAAGTGTAGATCTCGAAAAGTTATGAAACTTTGTAGTTTACAACTTTTTTATTTGAATTCGTTTAGGGCCTCAAACATGCAATTTACACTCGGTTTAGTATAATATATTGGGAACTAAAACGGAATGCAGACACAAGTGAGAGTGTGGTGTAGTGTTAGAGGAGGTACGTGCACAGCGGGAGGTCTCGGGTTCGAATCGCGTCGGCCGCGTAGCCATGAAATTCACGCGAAAAATGTCGGAGATGGGTGGGCGCTGGCCGGTTCGGGCCTCCATCGATAAAAAAAAAATTCCATTTTTTTGGGTAAAAATTCCCATTTTTTCGGGTTTTTTTCGGTTTCAACTTTGCTGAGTGTCGCCACTCGGCAAACTCTTTGCCGAGTGCCCGACAAAAGACACTCGGCAAAGACGCCTTTGCCGACAGTTTATTTGCCGAGTGTTCTTTGCCGAGTGCAGCACTCGACAAAGCCTTTGCCGAGTGCAAATTGGGCTTTGCCGAGTGGCCCTGGCACTCGGCAAAGCCACTGATTCCCGTAGTGAGAGCTCGTGCATCCACGTGGCACCCACCGAATGGATGCCACGAGAGGGCATGAATCCATGGCCCTATCTCTCTCTCTCCCTCCCTCAAACAGCAACCAAGTTCCTTCTCTCTCTCTCCCAAGCTCAAACAAGCAACATGAACATGGTCCCTCTCTCTCTCCCTTCGTTGCGGCAGCGCCGTGCACCCGGCAGCCCAGCAGGCAACCCCATATATATGGTTGTGCACAGACCTAGAGACGACTCTTGTCATGACCCGACGACGATAGTTCCAAATTTAAACTTTGCAAAAAAAAAACCTTGGAAGCCCTATATTCTGACCATCACCTCCTCGATACTCAATGTGGACCCCGCTAATTACCCAAAACTTGTATGAGATTCGACTCGTTTATACTTTGAGGTATCTCTGTCTCCGCTCTCTTCCTACAATGGTTACGCTTTTTAACGAAGTGAGCATCTCTCAACATAACACTAATCTCGATGATGAATTTCCCTGAAGCAAGCTAGTGGACCCTATGAAGGTCTCCTTTCAACTAATGTCAATCCAACAGGCTTATCCGAACTGAGATCTCAAGAAATCAACTAGAAGAAAACCTCCAAACTCAATAGGTGCTAACCTACTCCCTACAAGCAATGGCCAAAATCAGTTCCCAATTCCTCACCATAATCAAAGAAATTAGATATTTCTGTGTTCCCTTGAACTATCAGGAGTTGCCTCCCCGGCTGTTCCAAAGAAAATGTCAAACCCTAGTTGACCGCTTAACATGACAGAGTCAACGATATTCTAACGGACCATCCGACCCTTCCTACCGGACCGTCCGCTAGGACACCAAATCAGCAAATATGCAACTAGTTGAGCTTTCCTCTCCTCTCTCCTTATGGCGCCTCATGTCAGCACGAGTTGGCATGTTCAACCACTAGATTAGTCTCTCCTTGATGACACATCCTCTCTTCAGAAATGGGTGTAGTTGTCGCAGTTGATGTAGTCTTAGCCAAAGGTTGCTGTGAAGCCTCCAAATCTTCCCTCATGTGCGTCGGGCAAAAGACTTCACCCTCCAAAGTAGTTGGTCATCTAGTGCTCCTTTAGCCCCTCTTGGCCAACGCTTGTGACCGAATCCTCAACTGTGCTTGGTGTAGTCTATGTAGTCGTAGTAGTGGAAGTAGATGTCCGGACCTTAGTTGTTAGTGGGCCCCTTGAGCTAAAGTGGTTGACAAAGTTGTAGTAGACCTCGGTGCTCAAGGAGTTGACAACAGATGAGGATGTTTCCCATGAGCTCATCATCCCAGATCGGGTACGGAGTAGCAATGGAAGCCCACCTCTTCCTCTTGAAGATGCATCAATCTATCACGTTCCCCGGTGATAAGATCACAAGACCAACACCATGCAAGCTAAATGTGCGGGACAAGTTCTTTAAGACCAAGGTGGCGATAGATCAGGCTCATAATTCTAGCAAAGGGGACATGCTGCACAATTGTCCATTGCCCGTAGGGTACGCTAAGGTGAGCATTGATGAACTAGCTAAGGGCAGGTACTGTGCAGTTGAGTTAGATCTCCACGAAGATGAGGATAGGAAGACACTGGGGCAAAACTTGGGGTCCTTTGTTGCCTGGCGCAAGTGCTACACATCCTTTGGCTCAGATTCAGAATGTGATGACGATGAGGATGACGAAAGGGGAGAGCAATGACACCACCATCACCGCAATGAAACAAGGAACCAAGTACTTCATCACCACCACCAACCAAGACTCGCAAGATCGGTCCATCTACTAGGAGTACAACTCAATCATCTAAGAAGGATGAATCAAAGATGCCCCCAAAGCCGGTCTTCTCTGGTGAGTCTTTGAAAATGAAATGAGTGCATGACCCTTGTTTTTGTAGGAAAACAAAATGATAGAGGAAGAACTTGCAAAATTTGAGCTTAGGCAGGATAGAGAGGAGGCGCCACTTGTATGGCAGTTTAAGGAGGGGTGTGATTTGGTTGCTCCTAGACAAGACCCAAAATTACAACCGAGAATGAGGCAGCTGCATGATTGGTACAGACAACAAAGCGGTGTCATGTTCGGGCAAGATATAAGGGTAGACATTTTCACACGAGACAAGATGTATTGTGGATTGAGTTTAAGGCATTGTATCAATTTTACCAAAAGTTCGCCCTCGACATGCATAACATGAGCTTGTGGACCATATAAGTTTCGTTATGACATGCATTTTATAGCACCGAGTTTATTTTGTTACAACTACACATTGTTTTGTAGGAAGGAGGCATGCACATGCAGTTGAGAGGGATTGACATAGGCTTCTCGAGCCTAATTGATGAAGTGACACTACCACCATCGATGAAGTGACAAAGGGCTTGCTTGCCCAGCAAGACAAATCCTCCATACTTCTAGCCTACAACTGCAAGTAAGTGTGTTATATAATTGCCTAATTTTCTACTCTATTACATATTTCAGTGTTGAGCCTAATTGGCAGCAGGGTGTTGTGAATGCTACAACCATTATATCCTTCTTGACATCAACCTAGAGAGAGCCACTCTCACTGTTTTTGACTCTCGAAGGAGCCCACGAGAGAATATCCAACCCTTCATTAACACATTGAACAAGTAAGACAAGCTAGTACTCCTTCATAGCCAACGATAGGATTATTTGTTAGTTAGTTTTGATCATCATATGTCACTGTCATGAACTTGCCACATAGGTTGTTTGCCAAGTACAAGAAAAAGAGCAAGGTTTAACGTCCATTTTGGGAATATGGGTTCACTGTAGTCGAGCCTGATTCGATCGCACGCAGCCAATGGGCAATGATCAATGCGGGTTCTATGTCATGCATTACATGTGTAGCCTCATCGAAGATGTCTACTCTGGCTCAAAGATTGCCCCCTCGGCCCCTTTAGTCAATTGACAACCTAGCAACCTAATTCTGTGTATAGCAAAGCGTGTCTTAACTGTGTTCCATCTTTTTCTTGTGTTGCAAACACTAGTGTCATCTGCAGCGGAGCTGACTGATTTGGAGATATCTGGATTGCAGGAAGAGCTTGCCGGTTTCATTATGGACCAAGTCCTCATTATGGATGATCTTATGCTTGTTTATGTTCTGAAAACTATA